GCATGATGGACCATATGTAAATAACTGCTAAGCGAAAAAAAAAAAGAAAGAAAAAATACAAAAAAAATATACTAGAATGGTGCTTTCTTCTAATTTTGAACCGAATGAATTTTATTAACTGCAAATAATGTAATTGAAATACAATCCTAAAAAGTTTCAAAACGAAAGAAAATTTAAACATGTCGCAGGAGGAATCCGCGAACCGCAAAAATTCCAAAATGGGGGGGCTACGTTCAATCACATATCGCGGCTTGTGTACCACTCTTCTATTTTCTTCCTTGTAGCTTCTGATTTGTTTGATTTTTCTTGTTTTGTTTCTTCCAGTTTAATTTATTGCGCGTTGAGCTAGACAGAAGTAATTATCGATCTCTGAAACTCAATTCGATTTCACCTGTACCAACCCGTGTTATTTTAATAAAGAATTCTGTTCAGCTGTTAGAACATTCGGGCAAGGAGAGTCGAGCCATGGAAGAAATTGTACTGCACTGTATTTAGAGTAGCTGATGCTAACAACGCAACTAGCGAAAACCTTGCGTAGCTAGCATGCATTTACGTAGCATTCGGTATCTTATCTCCGACAGTAAACAAGTTGCAACGTTGTTGCTGTGAAAAATTCGAGGGAATATTCCTTGCCGCGAGTATATATATATTATATTTGCAACAACGACGCAGTGCGAATTTTCTATCGCTTGTATTTATCTCGGAAAGAAATAAACGAATTGCGAAAAGTCAAGATCACCGAACACCGTGAAAAATGAATAATGCGCTTGATAATTCGGCCCGTTAACATGCACGTTTCATACATATAATGACGAGTTAAAAAAATGATTGAGGAGAATCATCCTGATACGCACGAGGATACGGAACTGTTGCTTCTTGTTCGTAGAAACGAAATACATATTTGTTTAATTTTTTTAAGATTTCTTTGTATTGCTATTCACAAGTACCATATTTGGATAATCGATGAGAGATTCATATTCGGCAGGAAGGTCAACGCTAGATCTACCAAAGTGGTCAAAATGGCCAGTTTATAATTTTTCAAAGTACAATTCTGTGATAATTTGGATAATTTCTATAAAATACACGAATAAAAGTTTGTGTCCATTGTTGTGTTATAAATTTTGCTATTCGTTTTGCACTCTAATTTCTCCGATATAATCTTTATGCTTTGGTCGTCGGTAGTTCTAGTGTGATAAATTCGCTCGCCTCTCGGTGTTATATTTTCAATGATATTAAAATATGCATAATTTGTCCACGTTGAATAAAGAGGCACGTGGTATATGGATAAATGTTGCTCGTAACTGTAACACGGAAAGAAAAACGGACATCGTGAATATTTAAAGTATAATATGAACTTTGTAAAAAAAATGTAACGTTATGTAACGTTATAAATATAATGTACAATAACATTTATTATCACAGAAAATATCAGACTTATGAAATTAGACTTATAAACTACTCAAGTTTATTTTACCATGGTAATATCGCAAATATTAATCATTGCAATGCAAAAAAAGCTGTTCTTCACAAATAAAATGCAAAATACGGAGAAATGCACGTACTATTATAGGTACAATTTTTTGACAAGGAGATGAGACCTTAAAAATTGCTTGATTCATTTATAAAGAGTAATCGGCCAAATAATATAATTAATTAATATCATGACAATAAATATTAATACATAAAATTCGGTATACTATAATACTTCGGAATAATTCAAAATACCAGTACCGATCGTAAAACTTAGAACTCGCTCCTCTCAATTTCCGAATGGACTGGTCACTAATCTCCGCGGAACATGATCCAATTATTATTCTCGACGATGTTTTTCAAGCGCGACGCTCGCTTGTTATCTGTCGTGCACCAAGGTTAATAATGACCATTCGTCGGACGTTATCTTTGGTGAATCGTAGTAAGTCGCTACTGATACGAGCAATAGTTACGAATCGTTGCGTATCTTGGACGTCAGGCGCGACGAGAAATCCTCGTTCGTTGGAATCGAAACTCGAAAAAAAGCGTGCAAACGAATCATTGCGGCTGCGTGCCACGTGAAAAAAGAAAAAAAAAACTCTCCCTCTATCTCTCTTTTTTTTTTTTCATTTTCATTATTTATAGTCGCATCAACCGTCTGTGTTTGGGTAACTACTTGAGTTATTATCCGATTTCGAACGAAATCTTACAATTTATTACAAAAGTTAAACTGTCTTAGAAAGTGTATCAATTTTAGGACTCCTTCTTTATCTTTTAGATCAGAGGTGGCTAACTGGCGGCCCTACTTTCCTAGCGCTACCCCCCCCTCCACTGCATCGATTTCTCCACTACATTAAAATCTGAGAGAGTGGGGAGTTCACGCACGGCGAGGAAACTTCAGCGTAGCGGAGAAATCGATGCAGTGGTGGGGATAGTATTAACGATCAGAAAAGTAGGTGTTAGCCAAGTTAGCCAACTCTGTTTTAAATTGTCAGTCAGTGAAGGTTAGTCGATGTCTATCCGCGGTGTAGTTTCTCCGCTGGACAATAATACGTTCCACTGTCAATTGAACTTTGCACAGATCACAGGTTGGGGAAATGATTGGGGAAATTTTTCGAACGAGGGCGTGTTGGTCGGCCATTGTCTCTCCTGCATTTTCACTGGCCTGGCTTGCACAAACGCGGCGCGCGCGAAACGAATGGGAAGAGGGGGGATCTTTGAATAGCATCCACTTTCCGAGAAAGTAATTCGGCATTGATTTCACCGCGTGGGTGTCCACCATCCGCGAGGTGGATGCCGCAATAGAACGAGAGAGTATCAGAAAAATTGTGCCGTAACGATTTTCAGCGGGCACTTGTTCCTCAGGTACAAGCAGGCAGCTCTATTTTTAACGAGGCGTGTTCGTTCAATTGCAAAGTGTTCGCGTCATTCGCGTGCGAGAACCGACGAGAATTCGTTTCTTTATTTTTCTTTTCTCCTACTGCGGGAAGGTTTTTCTTATCCACGTATCATTTTCGTCCTCGTTTAGCGTCGGCGCGACGAACGTGATCACTGGAAAAATTCGCACGCTGGAGAAAACGTATCGACACGCCTGGTTTCTCGCGTAATATTTTTGTTAAAACGATCTGCGTACGTTAGCAACAGCGAGCACGTCAATAACAGTAACAGCAATTTCCAATAATGAGCAATGAGTTTCCAATAATAATAATAATGTAACCTAGGTAGAAAATGGAACCTAGGTGGAAAATTGTTTTTTAACGCACTACACTTTCGTATGTTACATTCTGTGTATCTTTAAAACGTATCTAGCAGTCTAATTATTACCATCAGAAATGAAATTATCCGATTGAACGACATTTCAAGGAAGCTAAAATTGTTCATTTATATCTGTGCGTGTTGTTGTTACCAGAGTTTATTGATTGCTGGCTACGTAAGACGGTAATAAAACATCGAAACGCTGAATTGGTTGTTTGTGTGCGGTTCATTATAACGGCCCTCCGTAACGAAAGGGTTAAAATTGTACAATTGATCTTGAGACGTACACGTAGCTCCTCAATGTGCATACGTAATTCGAATTTTGTGAAAATGAAGGACGATTTCTCTTGTCGAAATGTAATTCTGTCAAACTCTGCAAGAAAAAAACACAAAAATACAATAATAAATGCAAGTTGGTTGCACTCGAACGAAAGGAAAATAATTTTTCAGTCCATTGGAGGAATATTAAAGAGCTCTTGTAGAAAAAACGCTTGCAGAAATGTCTTTCGAACATATTGTTTTCATAAAATTTTGATCGAAATGATATTTTTGAAAGAATTTTAATTAAAATTTGGCGTTCATAATGTTTTCTTCAAGTATGTATTTTCAGTTGTATAGCGGGCCAACAACTTTTCGATCATCCGATTATTTATATTATTTTTAAATTATGGGAAGTAGAATTTTATTTACGGAGTAAATCGTCGCATATTTTATCGCGGATGGGAGAGTTTTCGAGGATCTTCAATATTTTTATGCTCTGTCATTTGTCTGCGGATATTTGGACGATTTGAACGATTTGCAATGAGACGTCATGCAACATCAAACAAAGGGTTAGAGTGGTTAGGAGTGAAAGAGTGAAACGACGTGTCTTACGTCATAATAAGAGGCAACGTGGTGTCCGTTTGCACTGACGTAACATTGCAATCGTCAAATTACTAAGGCTCGTACGTTTCTTATCAGCGCTGTATAACTTTTGTGTAAATGAGGTTTCTCCGTATCTCTGAAAATAATTATGAGGAAAGTAATTCAAAGGCGCGAGTTGGAAGAGACAATCCTGACAAAACGTTGACACGATCAAAGTGCTGCTTCACCCTGTACTTTTACATCTTCACCTCGCGTTCTTTCATTCTTTGCTTAATTTAATCTATCAATAGAACATAATTTAATTTAATTTATTCAAACAGCAATGGCTCATTTTGATAAAAGAAAAAATAGCATAATAACAATAGTGAATTCCTCCATCAGTTTGATGGTACGAAACTTTAATTCATTCATAATGGAAAATTTGTAATACTGTGCGATAGGATTTTTATTTAAAGAGAAAGAAATGCTGGACATTGCTCGTTTTCAATATTGTTGTAATTTAATTCCGTGGTTTTATTGTTTAATTTCATCATATTTATCTAGCTTATGTCAATATCTTGACGTGAAATTAATACGTGACATTGTCGAGCATAAATAATTTGACACGGTAGTGTCAATAAAAGCTTAGGTATGTTACGTTTTTCTACTGTTAATTTTCTTAGTTTTTAGTTTCAAGTTTCGTGTTCGTTTTTAATAAGTAACTGATGCTTCATAAAACCTGTACATAAACCTTTCAGCGTAGTTGGATATATTTCGATCGTTTTGAAATTTACGACGAATTACACACAGAGACATATTTAAAGTCACTCTGCAAAGTCTCCAATCGCCTACTATTATAATTAATATAATGTTAGCTGTTCCTTTTACTAATATCTATTTATTGTACGCGTTGAGGTTAAATCCAAGAGATTCGTTTTGAATTGTACTTTATATTGCAATAATTTTGTAATTGCGAAATGGGCCATCGTGTATGTTATACATGTATACGTAATGAAAATAAACGTTCGGGATTAACAAGTCGAGATTTGAAGTATAATTATAACGAATAGCATGAAACGAAAATGTGGAATCAATTCTTTGCTAGATGGACAAAGGAATATAAGTCAGAATTGGCTTTTTCTTTTTTTTTTTTTTTTCTAGAAAAGTATATTTAAATTCAAAGTGTACAATGTAAAATCAGGTATATTGGTTTGTGGTTAGTTAAAAATATATGTCTCATCGTTTTTATATTGGTTTGGTTGAAACTTTTATTTATTTGCCCATCGAAGAGTCACTCATTTTCTGATTCTGAGATCTTTGATACATAATTTGCATCGTACATCTTTCACGTTAATAATTTTATTTCACAACGTGTAGATCGTTTTTTAAAGTAAAAACATTATAGAGTGAAATCTTCACTGTACTGACCCATCAAACATTAAGGATCAATGCAACATGATCGTTTGCAATCCTTTTCGAGCAATTTGTATCGTTGAATTCTATTTTTTAACATTAGAACTACGAAATGAAAAATTTGACGGATCTCTTCGCGTAGTTTTATATTTTCTGAAATTGATGTATTTATATTATATATTATATATTAATATTGCTATATATATAACATAAATACATCATAATATTAATATATAATATATAATATATAAAAATATTTATATATTATTATATATTATATTATATATTAATATAATATTGTATTTATATTATATATTATATATTAATATTGCCAGCTAGATCTACCGACGATTAAGATATAAAAATTATGCAAGAAAAATCACTTTTGTTCACATTCTTTTCAAAACCATTCGAATCACGAAAAATACAACATTGTAAATCTGCTGCTACTCTAAAAATTACTCTAAAAAAAAANAAAAAAAAAAAAAAAAAAAAAAAAAAAAAAGAGGAAGAAACAATTGAATGAACTGGTCATTTGCTCTGGGAGAGAGTTCCAATCTGTCTAATCGGCTGAGAATGAGTGTGAAACTTGCAAACTTACACACATAAAATGAGAAATTTTGATAAAGACAAAGAAACTTTAGATAGGACATTTGAACTAGGTAAGAAGAGCCGTGTGGACGAACGAAATAATTTTTCTTTTTTCCTCGAGCAAGTAGTAGCTCGTTCGTTTGAGATATTAAAATCGGGCCAAGTCCCATCCTTCGACATACGGGGGGGGGCATATCGCTCGGGATATAGTGTTCCACGGTAAGCCACGTGTACGTCTTGCCCCGTGTTTCAGGGGCAAAGGACTCTACATCTGTCCTGCCTCTTCCACTTATATATTCTCCGCTTGCCATCTCTTCTCTGGTTGTGCACGGACACGTACGCAAGCAGGCGTATACACATGTGTATGTGAAATCCCCCGCGATATCTATAAAGTCTTGGTGAACTTTCGCGATTACATTTCCGCGAAGGAATGTCGCTTATGTTTCGAGATATCGTAAAGGGATAGAGAGTTCGATGCTGCACGGATCCTTGACAAACTTGCCCTTTTGCCTGTCGAAACAACGCGACGGTATCGATAATAATATGCGACGGGGATGGGGCTGAGAAGTTTTGCCTCCGCTCAATCCTTTTGGATGTCTGAGGAGAAGGGGAAAGAGCGATAACACTTTTGCCCTCAATTTTTTTCGATTAAACGAAGAGAATGAGGCATGGGACGAAAGAAATTTCGAAAATAAGTATTATTTAGCGAGACGGTTGCACGACAGTTCGTATAAATATCGTCACGTACACGATGATGTTTTCGATGATTTTTCGTAAAGCTCGCTGAAGTAGTTTTGGAAAAGATAATGTCGAAGCGATGTAACTTGGACCAACGAAGAAGAAAACGATCAATTTTCTGTGTGATATATTTCGAAGCAGTCGGCTGGGTAAAGAACAGTTTGACACCGATTTTGATGAAATTTACACTATTTAATTACAACTTAACATCCCTGTATTATTCAGTCCAACTTTCATACCGATGTCTTCCGTGGTTCAAAAATTACAAAGAAAATGTCAAAATGAATCTCTCGATCTGGATCTCTCGTGCGATCGATTTGTCCCCTGCAGTTGTTGAAATGCGTTGCGATGCATGCGTCGACACTTCGGAAATTCATGAAAACTGCATCAGTTTCGATTTAGCTTCGCATTATTGATTCCCGCGATACCAACATGTAACATATTGTTTCGAAATGTTGGGTTAGGTTTTCCCAACCAATAATGGGAGATATATATTAATTATATATTAAATTATGTTACCTGTAACGATGGAACGCCTGTTTAAAATTTGAATTAAATTATGATTAAAATTTGAGTAAAGTGAATTTTAACTAACTATGTACTTGATTAACTATCAGTATTTCTTACTAATTAGTTAATTGTAGTTAAATTTGGATTAAATAAAGATTCATTTGAATTTTATATTACAATGATTTAGATGTGTTCAAATACTTAAACACAGTGTACAATGTGCATCGTATTCAGCGTTCATTTTTATCACGTGATACATGAAACCTAAACGTCGATAATGTTGGAATAATAATATAATTCAGAAATTATGACTTAAAAACGAGTGTGAATGTTCTTGTTGTAAGTTTCTTGCAGCATGTCATCACGAAATTGCAAGTTCTTAACAATAATAGAAACTAGAAACTCTTCTTTCGTCTAAATTTTTATTTTTAAACAATTTGTTGTAAGATCGAAGCATTACATTACCATTATAGTGGAATAAAGTTGTCTGCCAGTAAATAATTTCCAATTTTAGAGTACGCACGATTGCAAGACACCCTCGAAGCGTTCTAACGAACAAATATCACCCTTCTTAGGACAATTGAATCCCATTGGATGGGATTTATCGATGTTCCAGCATCAGACAAATCCAATTTCAGCGCGAAATAATGAAGAAGAGTAGGGCCGATGGTCACTGGCTTTCATTTCACACTCCAGATTTAGAGTCTCGGCTGAAAAGGGGAAAGGGAGGAAGAAGCGCTCGTAAAATAGTATAGTTCGATGTACGTGCCAATGCTTCGAATATCATCAATAATGATTGTAATAATCTTCTGTTGGGCAACTGGAATATATATTAAGATAATCGAAAAATTGTAGTTTGGATAAAGAAGGTTCTACCGTGCATATTATATCATACACTTACAGAATTCTGTCGACGAAAAGTGCAAATGCTGTTTTTTTCTGTAACGAAATTTCGAGCACAAGAATACGAAAAGACTGGAAATTTTGTCGTTATTGCCAATATAAAAATGAACGATACGTGGTCAGAGATATAATGGCAGAACGGTTTTCTTATTTTTATAACAAATTGCAAACTTCAGATCTGACGTGTGCTCGTAATTTCCCATCTCACTCGGGAAATTATGAATTTTATGAATAAACGGTAAGCGAAAGAAATTTAAACGGAGAACAGGGTTAAGTGAAAAAACAACTGAATGATCAGACACTTCGTGAGTAAATATCGATCGAGCGTAAGGGAAGAAGAGGTATTTCTAGCAAATTTTTTAATTCAGGCATCACCTGAAACTTCTCGAAACTTAAGGAAGTTTCAATTCTCGAGAATTCGAAATTTTGTGCTGTTTTTGTTAGACTCGAAACTCTTAGACGAGAAACAGAGGTAAAGTCATTGAATAAAGAATGTTTGGTGCGAGATGTTTCGCAAATGCGATCGATCGTAATTTTGGAATGATAGTGTAAAATATCTGACTCCAAAGAAATTATTTCATCTAGATGTTTCATTACACCGTCGATAAATTATACATTGAAAAACCTTTCAGCACATATAGTTGAAAGAAAAAAAAAAAAAAAGAAGAAAAAAAGGAAGTAGATTAAATCCAGAAAGAGTTCGAACGTTATTGTTCTTAAACAAGAGTCTAGATTAGACAGTCTATATTTTTCTACGTTGTTACGTTTTTGTTTGCATTTTGTTTAACCGTGGCCAATAAAAATTTGTACGAAAGAAGTTCCTCTTTGTTTTTTAGAAATATAACAATCGTCATGCCAACTAGAACGAACATACGTCACAAAGTTGTTCGCTCAACATAATAATTTCCTTCTCTGACATCTATTCTTACACTGTACGTTGTACATTATCATTTATAGTCGTAGATTCCTTACTGGAACTTGCAAATTAAAATGGAATAAAATGAAATAAAAGTCAATAGTTCAAACCTCTCAGTGTTTCGAAAGTTTCGGAAGTTCTCGATTCGACTCCCGACAATTGAAGAATCAGTTTCGTACCCATTCCTGCGAATAATAATAATGAAAGAGAGAGAAAGAGAGAGTAAAAGTGAATTGGTAGGTGAGTGTCGTTATCTGGCTTGCTACTCGGGAAGAAGAAGAAGAAGAAGAAGAAGACGAAGAAGAAGAAGAAGACGAAGAAGAAGAAGAAGAAGAATCGAGGAACGACAGGGGGTCGCGCGTGCACCGACACGGCCCACAGTTTCGTCGTGTCGTTGATCACGAACGTGTCGATCGTCGACCAGACCAAAAACACATGCACGCACACCTCGGGGTGAAGGTTTTATCCTCGTGTAACTGTTGCTCCTCTCCTTCTCCCCCTGTCTTTCTCTTTGCTCTCCTTCCCGCAGACTCGTGCATTCCGCCAGCACACGATTTACCCTACGCGCTCGAACAACCCAGGAACAACCCCCGAAAATCAGCCCCTACGAACGAACAAAGAGTCTAGTGTCTAGACGGCTGGATATTACCGGCGACGACGACATGCACACCGTGTTTCGTGTCTTCTTTGTTTCTTTCGGCCGTTCGATACGCCTCTCGCTTGTTGCCGCGGCTTCGGTATTTTTTTTTAAACGCCTTAATTGCCCTGCGATATACAGACAGTAGTCGCTGGATGACCGTCTGTAAATATCTCGGAATAACTCGAAACGCGACGTGTTTCTCACCGTGAAATCTGGGGAAATGAATTTTTGAATGTATTACGGGACGAAGGATACGCCGATCGTTTTTGTACTTTTTCATTTTTCTAAACGTTGATCCGCGAATTTTGACTTTCGCGCTTTTACACTTACGCGAGCATGGCTAGAGAAATGGGAATTTTTGTCGAATGAATTTCTCGCAACTTTCGATGTTCCGTTGTGTCTAATTATTGTTGACATTAATTAAAAGACGAAAGATTGCAGTTATTGGCTAGATTTAGGTACGATATCATTTTAGAGTGGAAATGATTAAACGTCGATTAAACTATTGTAATCATCAGCGATGTCGGTTGAAACTTTTTAACTGTCGGAAATCTTTCGATGCTAATGTCTTGATATTAAAGCTCGATGCTGAATGAATTTGAAGCAAATGGGTTGCAAAGCTAAAGGGATTATTAAGAAACAAGGTGATGTTAAAACTTTATGTTGCTGAAATATCGGAGCTTGCTGAAAGGTCGTTCTTTCAAGTTATGCTTCTCGTACAATAGTATCATGTTACGTTCAATTTTTGCTGGCGATGAAATTAAATTAATAATTTAAAAATAATGATAAAGTTGAAATAATAATAATAATAATTTTAATAAATAATAATAATAATAAATAATAAATTATATAATAATAATAATAATAAATTCAAAAATTAATATAATAATAATAATAAATTTAAAAATAATGATAAAGTTGAAATAATAATAATAAAAATACCAAAAAATGAAAGGAATAATAAAATGGTTTTGGTTTAATAATAGAAAAAAAAACTTTGATCTTTCCTTCTTCTTTTGAAATCTTCTCACTTTTAATAATAAGAATCTGCACGTTTACATGAATGAAAATATTAACATGTATACTCTTACATCAGATTGAAATAATCTACAGTCAATTAAACTGATAGAGCAGAATAAACTTTGGCTGCAAAAAGGAAAAAAAGGAAAAAAAGAAGAGCGCATTGTACAGACGGGAGAAATGATTCAACAGTACGTCCAATTAATAATTGCAGAGAGATAGCCGAGGAAAATGTTGCAGCGACAAATGATTCAAACGATAAAGGCGAAGTGCAAATAGAATGCAAAGTAAAGGTAAAAATCAAAGAAAGTCGACGAACAATTAACAAACGTAATTTTGTAACAGTCGCGAGTCTCTCGAAACGTCGTTACAGCGGACACGAATGTGCAAAAGCAAGTGCTGCAGTGTCTCAAAATGTAATTCAAAAAAAAACAAGACAGGACAAATTGAACGAATTAGAACGAACAAGTAAATGGATTATAGTATTATAACATTTGCCACCGCACACCACCAGGAGAAAAGTCTGATTATCAGGAGGCTAAACAGTCTGTTTAACGGAGATTATACTTGATAGAATCCAAAAATGCCCGCTGGAAATAGAGCCAGCCGGCCACTCGTCCCGAGAGTTTGAAGCGTGTTCGAAACGAGTGCATCGCACGTTAGGTTACCTCTCGCCACCTTATCAGCTCTGTTCTATAGCGCGCATATACAGCGGCACCCGGCGATAGTGGAACGATGTCGACGACCCGATGTATCAACACAGACCTACCTGACGCCAGTTTCTAGATACATATACCCGCCAGTCTATAATAACGCGTGTGCCCTCCACTGCCCTGTGTCGAGTTGCTCTCCGACACCCTTGCTACTTCCATTCGACAAGATTCGAACTTTCAATCGATATCATTGTTCAATGACCCGCCCTCGACATCGGGGTCTTTTTCTTTTTTTTTTTTTTTTTTATCGGTACGCGCTTGCAAACTGACGCGACTGTCGTTATTTTTCTACGTGTGTCGTCGGGAAGCTTTTTTTTTTTCTCCTTGAGTGGGGGGGTTTTGCAGTCCCTTGGGATTTATGGGTCCCTATAACCTGCATTTAACATAAATAATTTCTTTTGTGTGAATTGATGATTGAGCTTTCTGAGATTTCTCTCTATATACGTGTCCTCTTCTTCGTTTCTGGCGCTTCATCTATCCTCGAGCGCCGAAAAATTGTTCTCTCTCGAAACATCGCGTCTCGAGTTTTTCAGTTTTCAGAAGTTTTTGGGGTGTTGCGAATTTCTATGGACGCTGGTGTTTCTTTTTTTCAATTTTCAGCTTCGAAGTCACGTGTCAACTGTATATTTTCTTAGAGTTGTCACGATTGTCGGTACCTAAGTGTGCTTATACTTTCGAATGCAAATTTACCGCGACGAATTTGTC